TTACAGGCTGAGCCACCGAGCCTAGCTAAAACTTTTTTTTTTAATTAGCTGGGTTTGGTGGCCTGTGCCTATAGTCCCAGCTACTTGGGAGACAGAGGTGGGAGAATCACCTGAGCCCAGGGGGTCGAGGCTGCAGTGAGCCGTGATTATGCTGCTGCACGTAAAAAAATATATTGTTTGTTGTTAAAACTAGTGAGTATCTATCTGCCATCCAAAGGGCTGTCCTGCCATCTGGTGGAAAGATCACCGGGTGCAGTGAATGCAAAGAGTATTTTTAGAAAAAGACTCCCAGGTGTTTCCCTTTGAAGCCACAACAATCCAAGCCAGCCTTGCGGGTTTAACCCAGAAGTGGCTGGCTGCTGTCAAATCGTGATGCCACCAACCCACCCAGACGAGGGTTCTGTCGTTTGCCTTTTTAACTTGCCAGAATGTGCAGTGTAATTATTCCAGAAATTAAAAGATCACAAGGTCATGAGGGTGTCAGGTAAGGACAAACACCATTTTGCTCTCTGGCTAGAAAAGAGCTAGTGTAGAGGCAAGCATTCAGTCTCCTATAATCTTTTTTACAGTTTTTGCACACTTGACTTAGGCAGGGAGTCTAGCTAGCCTCTACTGCATGTAGACAACCTTCCACACATGATTTTCATTAATTGAACATGCTTTGCTCCCAGAGAAATCAGAGAAATAAGTTGCAACTCTCCCTTCTCCCTACCCCTCCCTCCTTTCCTTCCTTCCTTAGTTCTTTCTTCCTTTCCTTCTTTCTTTCTTTCTTTCATAGAGGTGAGGTCACACTATGTTGCCCACGCTGGTCTCAAACTCCTGAACTCAAACAATCCTCCTGTCTCAGTCTCCCAACATGCTGGAATTATAGTCACGATCACCACACCCAGCCCGAGCAAAATTATTCTGATTAATTGTACAGATAAATTGTGGCACTATTTCTTTCTCGCCCTCCTCCTCCTCCTACTCCTTCTTTTATTTTTATTTTTTTAGAGATGAGGTTTTGCTACATTACCCAGGCTTGTCTCAAACTCCTGGGCTCAAACAATCCTCCCACCTCAGCCTCCCATGCAGCTGGGATGACAGGCATGAGCCATGGGCACTATTTCTAATTTTATTTATTTATATTAATTTAATTTAATTAATTTTTTTTTAGCTGAAGTCTCACTCTGTCACCCAGTCTGGAGGGCAGTGGCACACTCACGGCCACCACAGTCTCGACCCGCTGGGCTCCGGCTATCCTTCCGTCTCAGCCTTCCAAGTAACTGGAACTACAGGCACACGCCACCATGCCTGGCTAATTTTTTTGATTTCTTGTAGAGATGAGGTCTCGCCAAGTTGCCCAGGTTGGTCTCAAACCTGTGGGCTCAGACAATCCTCTCTCCTTGGCCTCCCAACGTGCTGGGATTATAGGTGTGAGCCACTGCGCCCAGCTATCTCTAACTTTAAAAGTTAGAAGATTTACACCTCAATGCTCAACACTGAGAGTTTGCACAAGAATATAATAGAAATTATGTTATTGTTATTTTGAAAAATAATTTTTAAATGACATTGTACCTCCCTCAGACCCATGGGATGGTCTCTGTTATCATTAGTTCAGCCTCAGTTAGACCCTAACTTCATTTTTTTTTGAGTCGGAGTCTCACTCTGTCGCCCAGACTGGAGTGCAGTGGCCGCTCCCGGCCACCGCAGCCTCGACCTGCTGGGCTCCA